ACTTGCTCTTGAATGTAGAATAGCTAAAGAGAATGGAAGAAATAACCATGGAAAAGAGCTGAGCAGAAGATTTCAAAAGATGCCATGTAAAGGCAAAGTAAAGTAGAATAATAAAATGTGCAAAGACTTGGAGTTTGAAAACCAAAAGGAAAGAACACACTCAGAATTTCTCAAGCTGAAAGAATTGAAGAGAAAATTCAATACTCAACTTGCAGTATTAAAGGATTCTGTGGGCAAAAAATTGAATGATGCAGGAAGCATCAAAAGAAGATGGAAGAAATACACAGAGTCACTGTACAAAAAAGAATCGGTCGACATTCAACCATTCAGGAGGTAGCATATGATCAAGAACTGAAGGTATTGAAGGAAGAAGTCTAAGCTGCACTGAAGGCATTGGTGAAAAATAAGGCTCCAGGAATTGATGGAATACCAGTTGAGATGTTTGAACAAATGGATGCAACGCTGGGTGCGCTCACTCATCTATGCCAAGAAATTTGGAAGACAGCTACCTGACCAACCAACTGGAAGAGATCCATACTTGTTCTCATTCCAAAGAAAAGTGATCCAACAGAATGTGGAAACCATCGAACAAAATCATTAATATCACATCAAGTAAAATTTTGCTGAGGATAATTCAAGAATTGTTGCAGCAGTACATCAACAGGGAACTGCCAGAAATTCAAGCCAGATTCAGAAGAGGACATGGAACAAGGGATATCATTGCTGATGTCAGATGCATGTTGGCTGAAAGCAGAGAATACCTGAAAGATGTTTACCTGTGTTTTGTTGACTATGTAAAGACATTTGACTGTGTGGATCATAACAAATTATGCAGAACATTGGGAAGAATGGGAATTCCAGAACACTTAACTGTGCTCGTGTGGAACCTGTACATAGACCAAGAGGCAGTCGTTCGAACAGAACAAGGGGATACTGTGTGGTTTAAAATCAGGAAAAATGAGCATCAGGGTTGTATCCTTTCACCATACTTATTCAATCTGTATGCTGAGCAAATAATCCAAGAATCTGGACTATATGAAGAAGAACGCAACATCAGGATTGGAGGAAGATTTGTTAACAGCCTGTGATATGCAGATGACACCACCTTGTTTGCTGAAAGCAAAGAAGACTTGAAGCACTTAACTGATGAAGATCAAAGACTACAGCCTTCAGTATGGATTACACCTTCATATAAAGAAAACAAAAATCCTCACAACTGGGCCAGTAAGGAACATCATGATAAATGGAGAAAATATTGAAGTTGTCAAGGATTTCATTTTACTTAGATCCACAATAAACGCACATGGAAGCAGCAGTCAAGAAATCAAACAACATACTGCGTTGGGCAAATCAGCTGCAAAAGACTTCTGTAAAGTGTTAAAAAGCAAAGATGTCACTTTAAGGACTAAGGTGCACCTGACCCAAGTCATGGTATTTTCAATTGCTTCGTATGCATGCGAAAGCTGGACAATGAATAAGGAAGACCAAAGAAGAATTGATGCCTTTGAATTATGGTGTTGGAGAAGAATATTGAATATACCATGGACTGGCAGAAGAACAAACAAATCTGTCTTGGAAGAAGTACAGCCAGTATGCTCCTTAGAAAGGAGGATGGTGAAACTTTGGACATGTTATCAGGAGGGACTAGTCCCTGGAGAAGGACATCATGCTTGGTAAAGTAGAGGGTCAGTGAAAAAGCGGAAGACCCTCAACAAGACAGTTTGACATAGTGGCTGCAACAATGGACTCAAACATAGCAACGATTCTGTGAATGGTGTGGGACCAGGCAGTGTTTTGTTCTGTTGTACTTAGAGTTCCTAAAAGTTGGAACTGACTCCATAGCACCTAACAACAAGAACAACAACAATCAAGCTGAGATCTAGGAGATGGGTATTAGCAAGGCTGGGGCTGGATGCTGGCTATTGGAGGGTAATGGGGGGTCTGTGGAAGACAAAACTCTATGAGTCCTTGCTAAGGGCAGGCACTGTCCATCTGTCCTCTTGATCTAAGGTACTGCCATCCCCAGTTCACATATGAGATAACAAGAGCTTAGAGTACGAAACTGACCTGCCCAAGGTCTCTCATGAATAGGTGACAGAAGTGGGATAAAAGCCCAGTCAGTCTGACACCAGAGTCCATGCTCTTTCCACTACACCAAATACTGTCTTGTTTAGCTGAGATATCCCCCATGCACCTCCCCCATTCTAACAATAATAATCACCTCGGCTAGCATTTATTCAATACTTGCTCTATACCAAGCATTGTTCCAAGAGCTCTACTCATACTATTTTCACAACAATACCATGAGATAAGTACTGTTATTGTCCCCATTTTACAGATGTGGAAAATGAGGCACAGCAAGAGGTTAAGTAACTCGTCCAAGCTCCCATAGCTAGAAGTGGCAGAGATGGTATTAAAACCCAGGTGGCCTGGCTCTGAGTCACAAAGAAGGGCACTGCCTTGCCAAGGTCTTGTAGTAGATGTAGAGTAGATCCTCTAGAACAGTTGTTCTCAACTGAGGGTAATTTTTGTCCCTCTGGGGACATTTGGCAATGTATGGAGATACTTTTGGTTGTCACAACTGGGGTGTGTGTGCTACTGGTATCTGCTGGGTAGAAGCCAGAGAGCCTGTTAGACATCCTACGGTGCACAAGACAGCCAGGAATTATCCAGTTCCAAATGTTAGTGGAGTCATTGGTGGTTCAGTGGTAGAATCCTTGCCTTCCATGCAGGAGATCCAGGTTTGATTCCTGGCCAATGCAGCTCATGTGCAACCACCACCCATCTATTAGTGGAGGCTTGCATGTTGCTATGATGCTGAACAGGTTTCAGAAGAACTTTCAGACTAAGATGGACTAGGAAGAATGGCCTCATGATCTACTTCTGAACATTAACGAATGAAAACCGTGTGGATCACAACAGTTTGATCCCCGATCAGTCGTGGAGATGGGGCAGGACCGGGCAACATTTCATTCCATTGTGCATGGGGTCACCATGAGTCAGGGGCCAACTTGATGGCAGCTGACGACAACAACAAAATGTCAGTAGTGCCGAGGATTAGAAATGAATCAGAGACTAGTGAATCTACCTCCTCTTAGATTTGAGGCCTTAGACTTAGCTGAGAGGAGAAAAAATATGATAGGAATCAAAATGAAGCCTGCATAACTTGGCTAAGCTGCTATGACAAAGAGAACCAAAACAGACAAGAGAGGAGCCTATTTCCTGTGTATGTAGCAGTTCAGAGGTAGCAGGAAGCCCAGGTGGGCAGCAACTCTGTGCATGAGGCCTGTGGGAACCCAGGTTCCTTCTGTCTTGTTGCTCAGCCCTCCCCTGGGCTGTTGTCCTTGTTTGTGTGGTTGAAGTTGGCTTACCACCACCTTGTTGCAAACCAACATACAGGAAGCAGGAAAGAGAAAGTAGAAGGCAAACAGAAGTTGACATATCTAGAGGTCGAACCAGGCCATACCAGCTTGTGAGAGGATATTTTAATAAACATAACTTCAATATAAATAGCACACCTAAAAATAAGTAATACTTTCTTAATAGTATCAAATAGATGATTAATATTCAAATTTCTTTAATTGTATAACTCTTTTTTGTAAATTATTTTCCTTATCTTTTTGAATATTAGGTGTTTTTCTTTTTCTTGGAGTCTCTGAGAGGTTTTGGTTAGCAGCCATATGATTGACACATTTGGCTGCTAACCAAAAGGTTGGAGGTTCACGTCCACCCAAAGGTACCTTGGAAGAAAGCCTTGGTGACCATCTTAGTTTTCTAGTCTCTATGAGTTGGAAACAACTCGATGGCAACAGGTTTGGTTTTCTGGTTTTCTATAACAGAAATACTGCAAGTGGATAACTTTAACAAATACAAATTTATTCTCTCACAGTTTAGGAGGCTAGAAGTCTGAATTCAGGGTGCCAGCTCCAGGGGAAGTCTTTCTCTCTCTGTTGGCTCCAGGGAAGGGTCCTTGTTATCAATCTTCACCTGGTCCAGGAGCTTCTCAGCACAGGGACCCTGGGTCCAAAGGACGCATTCACTCCCAGCTCTTCTTTCTTGGTGGTAGGAGTCCCCCTCCTCTCTGCTTGATTCTCTCTTTTATATCTCAAAAGAGATTGACTCAACATACAACCTAATCCTATAAATTGAGTCCTGACTCATTAACATAATTGCCTCTAATCCTGCCTTATTAATATCATAAAAAACCCAAACCCATTGCCATTGAATCGATTCTGACTCATAGTGACCATCTAGGACAGAATAGAACTGCTCCATAAGGTTTCCAAGGAGTGGCTGGTGGATTTGAACTACCCACCTTTTGGTTAGCAGCCAAGCCCTTAACCACTATGCCACCAGGGCTTCATTAACAGCACAGAGGTTAGGATTTACAGCACGTAGGTAATCACATCAGATCACAAAATGGTGGACAACCACACAATACTGGGAATAATAGCCTAGCCAAGCTGACACATAACCTTAACCACCACAGCCAGCCTTACTCTCGTCTTGCACCTTGGCATTCGTTACTGCCAGATGTATGACATTAATGCGCAAAATAGTCAGATTTTTTACTACTGTTGTAAATATGAAATGTCAGATAACAAAACAGTCGATAAGTGAGGAGAAGGTGTACTATGCTCCTTT